CAATAATAATTTCTTAACTACCATTAGCGCAGACCTCAGATCCACCACCGTGACACCAGCCAACAGTGCAACCACCCACCCGACCCCGCCCAATTCTGTTGTACCAGAGGACCCCATATCACCTGATTTCAATCTGCCTTATCCAGAGGTATGTCAGTCCACCTGTGATGATTCTTCATTCTATATGACTCAACAGTCTTATGATGATGAGATGAAATTCATGCAAAATTTATTTGGAAGTAATAATCTCAATGCCTCATCATTTGGTGAAAATGATAATAGAAAGGCTCCTCTAGACACTGGGATTGATCGGAAGAACAAGTGTTATATTTCATTCAATCCTTTTGGATACAACAGCTCTAATAGTGATAATCAGAGTTTTGGTGGAAATTGGGATTATGGGATTTTTCCATCTTATGCCGAACCAAACATGCCGACCAAACCTCATTTAGGTGATCAAGAGAATATTCAATCTGCCAGTATGTACTTGGACCTCTATCTCCCTCGTATATTGGATGGAAGCAATGCCATAACTGCTCTTTCTGACCCTAGCAAAATGAGCATGGAAACAGTGATAATGGATCATGCTAGCCCTTCAGTTGGAAAGGAGGTGGACTTGATAGAGATGGTCTCAAATTCACAATTTGCTCACAAGAATGCTGCAAAATAACTTTGTGTTCTCACATTGTCTTAGTGAAGACGATGCTTAGATTTCAGTGTCTCAAAGGGCTTTTGGAGTTTTACAAGCTTTTCATCGTTAATGTAGAACCAAAATTTGAACACCTCTAGCTTGGCATATTCCGGACAATTTGGACAAGACCAGTCAAAAAAATCATGTTTAGTGACGATTATATTATATTATGTGAGTGTTTTTCTAGTTTTCTCTTGAATCCTACAATGTTTTTGCTCCAGGTGTTAGTTTTCTGTTTTCAGTTTCATGCATAGCTATGATCTTTTTCTTGAATTGGTGTGTTATGCTTTTCTATTCCTCAGTTTTATATTGTTTCTTCTGTCTCAAATGGCTGGTGTCTTTCTCCGGTTTCTGTTTGACAAGAGTTTTGTTTCCTTTGTCAGAAAGAAAAATGCAACACTATCAGGTCCATTTATCTTGCATTCTGCGAAGATGTTGCCTATATGGTAAAGAAAACGTAGAGTAATAACAAAAACAAAAATGCATATAATGGAGCAATTTGTGTCGCAACATTTCTGACGATGGCAGAATAATACTGCTAGTTTTATTGACACTGGGCGACGGTTTGTTACCAAAACCAATTTCTCTTTTTAGGATTATCAAAATTTTGAAACATTTTAAAAATTAATATTAACGGTCTTAAAACTTTGTTCATATGAAAAAAATTTGGTAGGTTAATAAATGCGTTGATTAGCGCCTATCTCAAAGTACTAATCAATTTCAGTCCACCAATAATGCTAAAATTCAAAATGTTTTTCTGCACCTATTTTGGTAGCAAGGAGGGGTATTACATTTGTATACCATTTTGCAACAAAACATAGTCTCTTTTTAGATAAATAAAAGTCTAAAATTTTTGAAAATTAGTGCTAACAGTCGTAAATAGTTAATTTTAGCAGTATATTATCACCATTATCTAAACAATAATTGACAATTTCTCGATAATTAGAATGATATCATCCTCAACGTCAAAGCTTTGTAGACATGAAAAAAGTTTGGTAGCACAATAAATAAGTTAGTGAGCACTATCTCTCAAAAAAATTTAATCAACTTGGTTGACCAATAAAGAAATTCAAAATGGTTTAGTGCAATTATTTTCTTAGCAAGAAGGGATACTTCAGTTCTGTTTACGAATTTTGTAATGAAAATCAGTGGTCTCTTTTTAGGATAAATAGAATTTTGAAACTTTTAAAAATTAATATTAACAATCTTATATGGTTAAGTTTAATGGTATATTGTCTTTACTACTTTAAAGACAATTAATGACTTCTAAGATGACGTCATGTTGAACGTCGAGATGGAAAAAATTTGTTAGCATAGTAAATGTAATAACTAGCACAATCTCAAAATTTAATCGGTCCACCAATGATATTCAAATTCAAAAAGTTTTGGTGCATTATTTTTATAGCAAGGATGGAAACTATAACATCTTTTGATGTGATATATATGAAATAAAAAAGTAATTAAAAAATATGTTGATGATACAATCAAATAAAATTTGACAAATAATTTACTATCCAAACAAACTCATATTTCTATCACCGTTTTGCAACAATCAAGTAAAATTATGAAACTTTTGAAAATTAATATTAATGGTCTTAAATGGTTAAGTTTAATGGTATATTGTTGTGGTTACTCTAATTATAATTAACGGCTTCTGGACAATTGAAATTATGACATCTTTAACTATAATTAATGACTTCTCGACAATTGAAATGGTGACATCTCAAATGTCAGAGATTTCGTCAACATGAAAAAAAAAAAAAGAAACTGGTAGCATGATAAAAGCGTTAATCAAACTTTGCTGCCTAAACTTTGGAGGTAATCGCACTTTGCTACTCTCAATTTTAAAATTCTACAATTTAGTCCTAATGAAGACTAGTCAACCATTGAAATCTTAACTCCATAAAAAAAAAAAAAAAAGTGAATGTTTTGACAACATTGCCATTTTTGTGGCTTAAATTATCTATAGAATTCTATTATTGCCCGTTTATTCCCAGGAAAATGTTAATTTTGATCTAATCTCTATTTTCCTCTTCTAAGTTTAAAAATAAGGCATGTTAGTCATTTTCACAATTTTAATTATGCATTTAATAGTTCAATAATTTAACAAACAAAAGATGAAAATAATATTTTTCTAATAGTTTGCACATAAAGTAAAATGATAAAAATATTTTTTTTTTTAAAAAAAAAAGAGAGAATTGTAGTTTTGATCTCAAATGTTTAGGACATGAGCACTTCTAGTTCCTCAAGTTTGGATGGAAGCAAATGTAATTGTAAACATTTCAATTTCTAAGTACATTTAGTCTTACTGATTGATTTTTACCAATAGTTACCAGCATTCTATCACGTGTTGTCACGTGTTGGCAACTATCTTTTAGAAAAAATTTAGAAAATATGAAAAATAATGTTAGCCATAATTTTTAGCAAAAGAGTATTAATTATTTGTATGCCAATCATGTCAGTAATAGTCTTTAGCTCGAAATATTGGTTGACAAAAAAATTTTGGATTAAATACTAATTATTCACTTGATTGGCATATGGGCAGTTAGTCATTTCTCTTTATACATTATGGCTAGTAATGTTTTTCAATTTGTTTAAATTTTTTTAAAAGATTAGTTGCCGGCACGTGACCTGATTCTGATAGTAATTGTTAAAAATCAGTCATTAAAACTAAATATGTTTAGAAATTGAAACATTTATGGCCAAAATTGCTTTCGCTCAAATTAAACTTTGGCATCTAGAAGGAGGACTCATGCTCCAAACATTTGAAATCAAAATTGCAATTCTCTCAAAAATTAACAAGCTTAATGCTGCCTTAAGTTTTCAAATTTTTGCTAACTATAGATATTATTAGCACTATTTTATTTATCCATATGGTTTGACTTAATGCCTAATAAATTTAAAAAAAATGTATAGACAAAATTAATGTTCATTTAACAAGAGTTATAAAAAAATTTTTAAAGATAATAAACTGAAGGTAAATTGGGAGCTTAGTCTGCATTGGGATTTTGCACAGAAGCAATTAGTATTGCTTGCTTTGGTTGCTAGTTTGTAGCTGGTAGTTATGTGCTCCTTAGCACTAGTACTGCTTTATGCTCGCTTACGCTATTTCGGTTTATTCAATAAAAGCCTTTTACCTAAAAAAAATAAAGGTAATTTTTTTTGCTTTTATCAATTTGATATTTTTATATTGTGGATACTATTGAGAAAATGTGCATCTTTTAGCAATAAAAAGAAAATAATATTAAGTTATAAAAATTTCATAAATAAAAATGCAATCATGTCATTCCATTCACCATTTTTCGCAGGAGTTGAGATTTCTAATTTTGATTAATCTTCATGGGAGTAAAGTATACAATTTTAAGATTTAGAGTGCTAAAGTATGACTACCCCCAAATTTCAGGGAGATAAAACGTGATTAATCCAAAAATTAATCCACTCACTCTTTGTGGTTGAAATTCAACAGTTTTGGTAAACTTATTTTCATATTAAGGAGAGAAAAATACAATTATATCAGCCATTTTACGACAAAAACAAGATTCTTTTTTAAAAGATAAACAAAATTCTGAAACTTTAAAAATAGATATTAACGGTTATAATGAGTAAGTTTAACGGTATATTTTCATCATCACTTTAACTATAATTGACGATTTCTTGACAAATAGAATGATTTCATCTCAAATTCAAATATTTGTTGACATGAAAAAAGATTAAGTAGCACAATAAATATGTTAATTAGTTATATCTAAAAAAAATTATTGACTAAGTCCATTAATCATATTAAAGTTCAAAAAGTTTTGAAGAACTTATTTTCATAGCAAGGAGATGATACATTTCTGACAAGAATTGTTAAAGTTAATTATTCAGCTATTTTGCAACAAAAACAAAGTCTATCTTCAGGATACACTACAACAAAAATGACCTTTAACGGCATTTAAAGGTGTCCGTATACATAATCTAACCTGACACTTTACCTTTCCTCACACCTCGGACGAGTGTCGTCCCTTCCAATGTAGGGATAGGTATGTAGTATTCAAATATGTCAGGAAAACTATGATGTTATAACATCTCATCTGCCAACGAAAATTCGTTTTCTTGATAATCGAAAGTGTCAGGATAGTTATAGTTAGTAATAAGTAGGAGTTTTTTTAACGGAGCTATGCTGACACTTTTAACTGCCAGGAGTTTTTTTTTTTTTTTTTTTTGATATAGAAGCAACCTGCGGGTAGTGCTCCCTGCATTACATTCCGTCAATCAAAAAATCCAAAGGACTTGTAAAATTATCCCAAAGAACAGAATGCATATAGTAATCTAAAAGCAAAAGTCAATGCTCAAATATAATTTGTTAAACTAAAAGTCAGTAACAAGTACAAACTTGAAAGATTCCCTAACAAGTATAATTTGTTGAACTAAAAGTCAGCTAACGTAATTGTACAACATTAGCAACGATTCGCGAGAGGTACAATATATATAGTACATTGTTTGGGCGCCTATAAAGCAGGATATTAAAACCGAGCAACCCATACCGTCAGCGAACTAATCAAAGTGAAGTCAGCTCCATGAATTTCTGTCTAATGTGATAATTGTCTGCACCAGTAATGTACTTTACGGGCATTTTCTTTGAACATTAGAAGCTCCATGTTCCTCAAACCTGTTAATCGAGAGATAAAATAGACTGAAAATGGGGAGAAAAAAAAGGAGAAAAGTTGAATATTGAAAGGTAGAGTGGATGTAAAAGCTTAGATTTTGAAAACCACATTTGCTGAAAGGAACCAAGTGACGCCAATATACTCCCACCTATCCAAACAGTGAATGCGACAAGTTAGTCAACGCGCAGCATACTGAGATGCATCTAAAGCAATGTAGCTTCTAAATGCAAAGAAATGTCCACTTCAATCATAAAGCAAAAGCAAATTGGTCTAAACATGCAACTTTGGAGGAAGCACCGAGGCACATCTAGACTATATCGTAAGTAAACATATCAAATACTGTAAATTTTTGTATTTGGAGAAATCTAGCAATTTGCTGACTATAACAAAGTTAATTCTCCTAAAACATCATTTAAATGTTACACGCAAAATTATTGTATAAATTTGCCCTGTAAATTGTATTCTTCCCCATTCAAATTCTCTTACCTTTCATTTTTAAACATCCCCAAATAAAAATTCAGAAAAAATCAAAGCATATAGTTTTGAGAGGGCTTTCGACTTTCTAAGAAACTGATGGACCATTTCTCAAGTTGGAGAAGAAAAGTTCATGAAGAATATATATGCAATTAGCACAAAGAAATTAGTCCGAAATGACGATCATAACAAGGTGAGTGTAAAGAGATGTAGAGTGACAACTACATACCATTTTCAAATAGAAACTCAACTTTTTCAAGAGAACCACGTAATCTCCTTGCAGTAATTTGCAAAAGAGCACCATCTATAAGCATGTGTTGTACCACTCTTGCAATATTTTTGGTATCATCAATTCCAAGATGGTGACTTCCTAGCAGCGGATTTTGGAGTTCCCTCATCATTGAAACCATTCCTGGAGCCTGACAATCAAAAAGTTTATCACTACAATCTGAGAAGTTTAACACAACTTGGTCTAATCAACAGCAGCTGCAAACGAGCATTGGGCTGAGATGAAACACTCTATAAAATGCATAAACTCACAGACCAATCTCACACTAATGCAACGTATTATCTTTCAGCACAAAATTAAGCACAGAAAACCAACCAACCTGGCCTGCAACTTAAACAGGGAGTTCTTATTTGTTACATTGATGAGTTCATCATCACACTGCCCTCTCCGATAGGCAACAACAGCAAGGGTAGGATCACGCTTCTCACAGTATTTGCCCACGACACGTGAATCATAATATGGGTTGGTAGTGAGAAAGTGCTCAGGGTTATTATTACTGTCTATAATGATCTTTCCAAGTGCATTGTGCACATACACATCCTGGCTTCCTTCGCTCACAAGATGCTCCAAAAATTGGGTAAGTAACCGAAGCCGGTTCCTGCAATCAGAAGTTCACAGTTAATAAGTCCACCGACATGCTAGGTAAAGGTTGTTTTAGCAACGAAAAAGCACCTTTTCTCACACTCGTCCACGAGAGGCTCAACAGGAAGAAGCGAACGGACAGAGAGAATCAAGCCTTTAATAAAATCTTCGGGACATTCATCGTCTAGCAGCTGCCCCACAACTAGTGGAGCATTTCCAGGATTGACCTATGTACACATGAAAAAAAGGAATTCAGCTTCAAAGTGTATGCACCATTTACCAAAAATTGTAGGTTCTCAAAAGCAACTGACCTTCTGCACATATCCTTCAATATACCGGAGCATGTTGTTTGTATACAGGTAGTGTGTCAAATCTGGAACAAAACCAAATCGATCGCACACATTTATTAGGGGTCTAGCATCCGGAAGCTTGGCTTCCATCAAGAAATTTTTAGTCTTCTCTAGGTCATAGAAATTTGATTCCCTTGTAACACGCTCAACCTCCTTGATCTGCCCTGTCTTTGCAGCTGCTTCAATATACTTAAAATGGATGTCAGGGTCCTCACTGCAACAACCAGAGTTTAAAATATGAAGGCAACAGACTAAAGACAGAGAAAATGGCCAAGTCAAAAACGAAGAAGAGTCACTTCATTTCCAACATATCTCACCTTGAGCTCAGATAAGACCCCAAGAAGAAGTACAATCCTTCATATGATTTGAATTGCTCAAAAAGTTTTATACAAGGTTCAACACCCAATTGCTCACAATATTCTTTGGCAACCTGCAAGCACCGAGAGATTGGTAAGCTGCGTTCTAATGCAAGGTTTAGTTCAAGGGAAGAGCAGAGGAAGGGAAAGGAAGAAATCTACTGCTTGAAAGCAAGGAGTTGGAGACAAAGGTAACAAGAGAAACAAATCAGCAAACACACAAAATTTATCTTTCAGCACAAAGTATTATCATAGTTACAGAAAATGTACACCAATTAAGTGACAATGAAGTTTTTACATTTCAATACGGTTTCTTAAGCAATGTACTGAGTAACATAATTACTTGGGTATATGATGACAAGCAAGCAGAGCATACTGCCCCCACGTAGATGTTATTTTTTTCTACTGCAAGATTTAGAGGAAATAAAGTCTGCTATTAAACTGAAAGACTACTTGATTGTGTTTGGATAAAAATATTTCGTAGTTAAGTTAGATAGGAGCTTACAACATCACAATAATAATTTCTTTAGCACGAGTAATGAGTTGCTTGCTTAGTAAAAGGGAAAAATACAAGTGATAAATTTCTCAATAGAAAAAATCTGAACAAAAAAAAAATAATTCCCTCGAAAAAGTTGAAGGTTGCACGGCATTATCAAATTGTCATCCATGATCCATCCACTATAATAAGGAATAAGGGTATTTGGAGGCATATGAAAGTGATGGGCTCATTGCTTCTGAACCTTTACAATTGGGTACTATTTACGTATAATTGCTGCATACCTTTCCCTCACAATTGGGCATTGGTTCCAAGGAATTTGATTCGTGTCCCTGTTTTCTTCAAGAAGAATTACGCTCTTTCCTTGTCTTTACTTTCTCATCCCTCTATTCGCTTCCTTGCAAATTTTTTTCTTTTTTCATTCGAACCTTCCGACAAATAGGTAGTGAGCATGAAAAATTTTGAAATTTCTTTTTCATCAATTCCTTATACGGCCTGAGCTTGAATTTTAAATCTAAAGCTCTACTCAAACCTATGATCAATTCCAACCACTTAAAATCGAGTAACAAGATGAAAGTAAAGCATAACCGACATGATTGCAGACAAAGAAGAAAACAATACAATTAAGGGGGGAAAAAGGTACAAGAGTGTGGGAAACTTTACAGTGATGATTTCCGCTGTAGTGGCTGGACTCCAGTGAAATGATAGCGGCAACCTTCGCCTACTCTACTCCTTGGCGCGCTCAACCTGAATATCTAGTCAGTAAGGAGAAGCATGGGGATGGGTTTCAGAGGAAAGAAGAAAAAGGAAAGAGCACGAGTATCTATTTTCTTATTCTTTTTGTCCTAGCAAAGAGAGTGAAGGCTTAATGGTGCAGGTGTCGTGGTTGACTAAACAGGGTAGAGAAGCGGCCGAGTTAGCAACTGAAAATAGGGGAGTGGGGCGGCGGCGAAGGCGGAAGACGGAAGAACCAAAATGGGGGAGTTTTGAGAGAGAGTTTGCCGAGAGAGAGAGAGAGTTTGTGAGAGATATGAGAAGAACCAAAATTTCGCTGGCTTGCGAAATAAAAGTTTTGAAATTTCACTAAGTGTTTTGGCAAAGGAATCTTCCGCCAAAATCAAACAACATCATTTTATGTTTTAATTTTTTTGGTGTATCTCACATTTTTTTCAAGTGTCATGATAGGGAATCTAAAGACACATTATTATTTTTATATCAGATAAAATAAAACAAAATTAAAGTATATATTATTGAATTGATAATAAGTGTCATGATAGAAGTACTATAATGACAAAAACCAGCAAGTGTCCTTTTAGGCGTGTCAGAAAAAGCCATTTTTGTTGTAGTGATAAATAAAATTTTGAACTCGTTAACATTAATGTTAATAGTCCTAAACAGTTTGATTTAATGGTATGTTATTGCCACTATTTCATGATAATTATTAGATTTCTCGATGTGTTGGATGATAGCATCTCGATTGTCAATGTTTTTTTTTTTAACATGAAAAAGCTTTTATAATATAGTAAATGCATTAATCGGTGCGATCTCAAAAAAACTAATCGAATGGATCCCTAATAATATCAATATTCAAAAGGTTTAGATGCTCTTATTTCAAGGTAATGAAAGAAAAACATTTATTACTAAAATTTTGAGGTTAACTATTGAACCATTAGCTTTCAAACTAATTATTCAGTTAAGAAACTTAAAATTGGTAATGACCAATGGTTTTTAGTACTGATGTTAATCCATGCTCTCTTTAGCTTCTCAACAATCCTGTTTGGGAATTAAAAAGAAAAAAAAAAACCGAGAGATACACAAAGATAGGTTGTTTTGGCCATTGAAACAAACTTTTTTTCTAGTGTGAACACTTTGAACTAGTTCTTAGATAAAGTTAAATGGCCCTTGGCCAAATGCATAATGGTGCTAACAAATAACAAAAAATAATAAGAAGGATAAGAGAACCAAACTTACCATGGTTTCCTTGGCTTCGATTTGAATTTCCTTTTAACAAGGTTTCCTGAGTGTATTCTTGCAATATTTATTAGCCTAAATCATCATGTGCCAATTTTTTGTTTTGGAAGAAAGACAATTTCTTTTGTTTATCTATCCTATCCATACTATGTATCATGCAACCTTGTCTACTTAGGGGCACACAAACGATAGGAGTTGTGTACCTAAATGTTGCAGTTTCATTTCTTGTGTTTTAGTTGCTCATTATGGGAAAAAGTGGGTTATTGCTTGAGGTAAAATTAAGGTGAGGAGGAAATGATTTTTTATGTAAGATATAGTATTGGTATATGGTACGATACTGGTGCTTTTTATTCATGTCAATTTCAAAGAGTTTATTGGGTGTATAATTAAACAATTGAGCTGCCACATTTAATTATTTCCTCAGTATTTGCTTTTCCATGTAGCTTTCATGCTATTACCATGTGTTTAGGCAAGTATCAAGTTGCCCAATGACTGTATTTAAACACAATCAAGAGAACAAGAAGTATGAAAACCTAAAAGTGGTCTTTGTTTTCCGAAAAGGCAAATAAAATTTTTGGGGGCAACGGGAAATAAAAATGTAGTTTTTTGTCGTATTAATTATATAAATTATCCTTGACAATTGGTGATTGAAAAGCAAAATGAAATTGCATTCACTTCTCTTTTTTCCTATTGCCTAATTCAGTAGAAAGTCGATTGTTTATCCAGAATGGTCACCGTTTGATGAGGTATTTTAGTAAAGGAAGTGGTAGTCATGCAGAAAGAAATGTCCTTTTTTTTTTTTTTATAAAATGATTTTATTGATTCTAAAATGGACAGAATACAACTCTCACCGCAATCTTCTCCTTCGAAAATTGGGAAAACCTAACCGCTCCAGTTTAATCTCCCCCCTAACCCTATCAGGCAATTCGCGGTAACTCTCAAAAATTGTATCTTCCTCCGTGTTTGCCCCTAGGTTAGCTAAACAGTCCGCTGGCTTGTTCGCCTCTCTATAGCAATGCGTAATAACCCGGAAATGTCTTATTATGGATATATATATATATATATATATAAAAGAGAGCACAAAATTAATTCCCGTTCTTCTTTTTCTTTTCATTTTTGAAAGAAAAATTTGCTTTTCCTATATCGCACTAAATTACCTTTTCCTATTCATGAAACTTTAAAGGAGTATAAGTATCATGTTTTTGGGGTCTGTAAATTCTATTACATCTTAAGTTGTCACTTTTGACAAAGTAAAATTATAAAAAATGTTCTTAATATTGTTTCAAGAACAAATAGCCAGGCCAACCCGATGGCTTCATTGTTGCTACTGAGTCTGCAGCCATGCCCGCTGGCAGAATTGAAACCTTGAACCAAAGAAACTGATAGGATTCACTACTAAGGTCACAGCTTTCCTTCCCTACTTATTTGCCCTTTAACTTTCCTCTTTGTGATGTCAAGGGCTTATGGATCGGTGACAAGGATTAGTGCAGGAGCTCTGATTGAGTTGAGCTGCTTTCTGTAAGTTCTCACTTGGACCTATTTTTCTTTGCGTTTGTTTTTGGACCTAATTTTTTGCCTTAATATGCTTTAGATTACCTTGATGTACATTATGAAATTTAGTACGAGAAAAGAATTAAAGTTCACAATTGCTACTTGAATTTGATTGAGGCAAATTAGCAAAAATTGTCATGTATCCACTACTGGAAGGGGTTGGGGGATTAAAAATTGAATATCCTAGAAACGGCTTGATTAGAGTGAAAGCTATACCATTTATAATTATCATTAATCAGGTCCAGTTCTTGTTATTAGAATGATGGCACCCTTGATGGTTTTTTAGTTAATATGAATTAAGTTGATAATGTTTTAAAGACGGGTAATTTTTCCTTACTTGGCACATAATGTATATTTAGTTAATGGATGTCTATCAAAACAGTTAGTATTATTACATCTCACGCAAAACATTCTGGAGTTGATTGTAATATCTGTGTGTGGCAGAGCGCATGCTTACCTAATTGTCTACTCCCACTTCACAGTGACACATTTACTTAGAATTGTTAGCTGTAGTTTGTTAAGTTTGATACAAATTTCAACTATTTAATGGTTAATGTATGACTCTCTTTGGATAACTCTTGTATCAAAATCAATTTTTCATTTTTAGTTTATATAGGGAGGAGAAAGAGAACCTGGCTTTGATTCACTACAACAAAAATGACCTTTTCTGACATGCCTATAAAGGCACTTGCTGGTTTGTGTCATTATAGCACTCCTATCATAACACTTATTATCAACTCAATAATATATACTTTAATTTTTTTTATTTTATCAGATATAAAAATAATAATGTGCCTTTAGACAACCTAACATGACACTCGAGAAGATGTGAGATGTACCAAAAAAAAAGAAGACACCAAACGGCATCGTTTGATTTTGGCGGAAGATTCATTTGCCGTAAAATACTCAAAATTTTCATTTTGCCGGCCAAAACACTTCCTCAAAATTTTCATTTTTTAGCTCCGCCATTTCCAGCCCCCCTCCCCCTCCCCCTCCCCCTCCCCTTCTCTCTGTCTCTCTATCTCTCTGTTGTCAGATTCTGATGTAGTTGGTGGGAAAAATGGGTAGCAGCCAGGCAGCAGTTTCGTTCCTGACCAAAATAGTGACGGTTTCCTTTGAAAGTGTAGATGTTGAAGGGGATCCACTACCAGTCGCTGAACTTAAGGCCAATAAAGCCTTGTCTTGTTAATGGGAGAAAACAATGAGTTGGTGAAATCAACTGTATCTAGAGAAGAAGTGAAACGCAAAGGAATCAAGAAAGGATTCTTTGGGAGTCTTGAGAAGATGGCAAGCCAAATAATCTCACTTGTGGTAATTGAACTTTCTCCTTTCTAGATTCCTGTCTCATGCTTGTGTGTCTGTCAAATTATGCCGGAACCATTTCATCTATTTGATCGACACAAACTAGATTTGGTTTCAATTCTTTTGTGTTTGCTTAATTGCTTTTAGCTAATGATGTGTGGTGGGTATACGGTGGACTGTAGGAGTTTTGTGCATTAGTGCTTGATTCAGCAGACAATCTTTATCAGAGTGCTTTTCGTGAGATGAAAAATCTGGTACTAGATTCATGTGACTATTTTGTTATGGATTTGTTGTCCATAATCTGTTCAATAAAATGTCAAATAGATGAATAGGAACGATTAGGCATTCATTTTCTGTCTATCCAAATTTGCTTCATACTTGTGTGCAGAATTTGGCACAGAAACTCATATTACAAGATAAGAGGTGAATCTACTTGAAAGGAAAAGTGAAGCAAGAAGTGGAAGATAAGTGTGTGACTTTAAATAGGATTGGTACAGTTTTGAAATGCATATCTCACAAGGTTTCTGTCAGGTCAGATGGGTTCTTACAGTTTGGCTACAGACACTAGTCTGATTGTAAGAGTTCTACAAATCTATAGCTGCTACGCTATTCACTTTTAGCTTGTAAGTTTTCATCCAGCAAATGTGACAGGAAACACTGAGGTCTCTTTCTTTATTCTTATCTTTTTATACATGAGAGACAACAAATGTTTTATTACCTCGAAATGTCATGTGGGAATATGGCTGTTACTTAAAAAAGTTTTCCGATTAATGCATTTAGTCCAGCTAAATGCAGTACTATCAATTTCTAATAATCTTTAAGTCTGATTTGTAATTTCAGAAATAAGCAAGCGAAATAAGGAGGCTCGAAAGAAGAAGAACATGAACCACACAACCGGGAAGAAACCATTTGCTGTGCTTCGAAGCAAAATGGTACTAATATATTTGTGCTACGACTTTCAGAATTTTATGTTAAACTATCACTTGTATATGCTGGACTAAACAAAATTATATAACTACTTCTAGACAAAGGAGTTGGGGTGCTCTACTACAAGAGTTGAAATGTTTGATAAATTTTATAGCCATGCTGATGGGACTCCATCGAGTAGTGTGGTGGTTGAGAATTTGATAAGTGAACTAAGAGCATTTGTATGTTATTTAAGTCATGCTGAAACTGATAATAACTACATTTTGCTTTTCTTTTAAAGTAAAATGAAAGAAAAGTAAGCTAAACTTCCACCAAAAACTGATGACTTAGTTGGCCAAAATAACATATTTGCTTAAGTCATTGGACAAGACAAACCTGGCCACGTCCGGTTGCAGAAGATGACCCCAAAAGAGAAATCTGCGGAGTCCAAACTCATTACTGCAAGGGAGAAGACACCTGCTAGATTGACAACGCATATGCTTCGTGGACAAGCTCTTAAAAGCCTAGAACATACGGATTCCTTAAAGTTGCAGCAGGGCAATGAAGATAACCATAAGTTGGAGGATTGGTCCCAGAGCAATTCACTTTGTGTTCCTGCTCCTACAAAAGAGGAGAGAAAAGAAGTAAATGGCTCTGAAAAATTAGATTTGCATTTATTTCTTATTCTTCTGCGCCTGATTATGGGATTGTATCTTGCAGGATTCCCTGGAGTTGGAGGATGACATAAGCTTAAGATGTGCGTCTGAACCTTTGCGTGAAGGGAGAGAAAATCAAGAAACATCTGCTACAAATAAAAGTTCATCTTCTGCTGAAAAACTGGCACCAGAGAGCGCTGGAGCTTTGCCTGAAATAAGGACATCTCCAGAACTTATATCTGGTAAAAGAAGTGACTTAGAAATTGGCAATGCTATGGATGTTGGTAAAGAAAAAACTGGTGTCACCATACCTAATATAATTGCATCTGGAACAACTTCCCAGCTAGTTACACCTTTATCACCCTTGGGATCAGAGAACCCAAAGCAAGGAATTCAGGAAGTTACAACATTCCAGAGTTCTTCCTCGTTAGTTACTGAAATTTCGAGCCCCAAAAGCATTCCCTTGGACCAAGCAAAAAGCAGAAATTCCCTTGGACAACTCATACTGCATGTTCTTATAGACTTAGAGCTGATTCTCTCATTTAGTTTCTTTTGTTTATTAGATGGCAATGCTTTTCATGTTAGTTTGCAATTCTTTTGAACCCTTTTACTTGGTTACTTTTGTTGTTGAAGGATATTTGAGCATTGACTTTTGTTTTTAAATTACTACATGCATTCTGTTCTTTGGGATAATTTTACAAGTCCTTTGAGTATTTGATTGACGGAATGTACAGCAGGGAGCACAACCAGGTTTCTTCTTTTTTTTTTTTTAAAAAAAAAAAACAATCCTGACAGTTAAAAGTGTCAGCATAGCTCAACAGCATCGACAATATCCTGACACTTTCGATTGTCAAGAAAAAAGATTTTTGTTGGCAGATGGGATGCTATAACAGCATAGTTTTCCTGACACATTTGAATGCTACGAGTCTATCCCCACATTGAAGGGATAACACTTGTCCAAGATGTGAGGAAAAGTAAAGTGTCATCTTAAATTTATCTATACTGACACCTTTAAATGCCGTTAAAGGTCATTTTTGTTGTAGTGATTCCTTTTAAAAATAAAACTAGAATTTAGCTTTCATATATTTAACTGTTGCAATAACTGACATAATAACCAAATTTTTGGTGTGATACTCAAATTTCTTTTTCCCTTCTTTTTCAAAAAATTTTACCTGCTAATTAGATTCATATGCATCACATACCAAAACTCTTATTCAATATTCCTTGTATTACACGTAAAAAAATTTTTCATCTACTACATCCAGTTTACCACTCCTGTTAGCTTTATCGGTATCGTTGGTTTGTGCGGAAATATGAGGAATTGGGATTCAAGTTGAAGGTTTTACCGACATAAGCTTTTTCCTATATAAGCTTAGCTTTCTGGAACTACTTTAGATTATTTGTAAATATTTTCAACGAAGCAAAAGTAAAAATGAAGTCATATCAAATGCTTGAGCAAGTAACTGCTTTTATCGTGTGAGCTTGACAGTTTTATTCCTATGAGGAGTGCAATAATTGTATTCTTATTTGTGCCTCGTTCTTCATATGCTGTATACAATTAGTTTTCGTTATGATGAGTGATTTGATTTGTCATTTTTAATACCAGTAATTTTTTCATGTTACGCCACTATTCGCTGAACCTTTTTATATAGGTTGTAGTTTAATAATCCAGTAGATGATAGAATGACTGTCTTTATTAGCCTATGGTTGAAATGCGAATAAAGTCTTAGGGTATGTTTGATAATATAAAAAATTGCTGAAACTGAATTTTTGCATACATTCAAATGTTTTGAGTGTTTGATAAATGAAAATCCATTTACTAAACTTGTTAAGCAGTGCTGAACTTGTGTGTATTTTTTTTCAGCACAAGAATCCTAACTTAATGCTTAATTCTGATAAGAATCAATAGAATTATTTCAACTACCTTATTTTATCAACCAAATCTACCCTTGTTTGTTAATTATGTTCAAAATTCTTATTTAATTAAACAACTTGATATTATTTATCTAACAGTTTTCTATTTCTCTTTTCTTCCTTTGTAATTACTTTCACATCTTCTCCATACTCTCATATAATATATTTCATCTTTTATATCCATTTGATTTAAAAATAAATATTGTCATTTTCATACCTAATAATTTTAAGTTAATTAAATCATAGATTCTATTTCTTTTTTAGATGAAAAGATATAAGGGCAAAATTATCAAATGTAACTTATTAAGCACTCAGTTATAAATGTTTATCAAATAGTATAAATAGTTTAACATTAAAATTCAAATATTCATATATTTCTTTTCAGTGCTTAAAATTCAGTAAATTTAAACTTCAAATTTAGATTCAATTTTATCAAACGGAACCTTAGTTGCCTTAGTTGTGAAGTACATAAATATGTGAAATGGGTAACAGAGGTTAAGGATTGCTACAAGAGAATTACTTTTTTTTTTCAGAATTACAATGTGATTGGAAACCTATCAAGTCTTAATTTAGCATATTGATTGTCAGTATGAAAATTGGGTAAACGAATAAAGGTTTATATGTATACTATCTGGTCACTCAACTAGACTTTGAATGAGGCCCAACTGATTATTAACTTAAAACCTTTTAAGAAATTTTGCTGCTTCATAAAATTCTATTCTTGGTTCTTGTGCTTGTGGATATTTTCAAGTAAGGATGGCAACGAATAAAGATAAAGCATAAAGTAAGAGGTATATAAAATAAGATCGATTTATCGTCAGTAACATCTACCTATTCTGCGCAGAGTACATTGAATGTACAGAAATGGCTATAATAGAGTTTCTCTTATTCATATTAACAGAGTTTTCCCCGCCCCTTGCCCTACCCCCCGCTCCCCCGCCCCGCCCTGCTTCCCCTGCGGGTATAAAAATTTATTATATAATTTTATTATAGTTAAATTTTATTTATTTATTTTTTTTATTAAATAGGGATGCGATCCCCTAATTTATTCATATCCGAAAAGAGTACAGCGAATTAGAGGGGGGTCAAACCTAACCTCCGTTAAAGTAAAAGGGACAGCTTCTTTCTCTTTTTTTCCAAAAGAGCAGTCTATGCTCGCCTTCTCCTAAAACTCGGAAATCCTAATTTATCCAGTCGTATTTCTCCCCTAGCCATAAGGGGCAAGCTATCAAAGGAATCAAAAAAGATATCTTCCCCCCGGGTCGCCCCCAGCTTGGCCATCCTGTCCGCAGGCTTATTCGCTTCCCGCAAGCAGTGTGTTATTGACCGATCACCTTTTTGAAGCCGTAGAAACTCGTCCACCTCCACCTGCAAACGCCAGGGGCATGCATGATCCCCTGATAGGATCTGAACCAGTGTTAGAGAGTCCACCTCCAAGTGTAAAGGCGTAAATCCCCGCACAACACACTGCTTGACTCCAAAAACCAAGGCTCGTAGCTCTGCGTGCAGACTTGTGGTGACGCCAAAGCAACAAGAGAATCCAAAGAGGAAACCCCCTGGCAATCCCGCAGCAAGCCTCCCCCGCTACTCCTGCCCGGGTTGCCAAGCGAGCACCCGTCCGTGTTTAGCTTATAACCCTCTGCTGGAGGCAACCACTTCATGGGCCAACTAATCCACCGTTGTGGCCTCCCTTCCAAGTCCGAGTGCAAAGTCATCCAAGAGGCATGGTCCCATGAAAGTGACGGGAATTGCAAAAGCAATGCCTCCCTCATCCGGGACAGGGTCCTGGCTATCACCACTCCCACTTCTAATCGCCCACCATGCATGAAAGCGTTAGTCCGAGCTGTCCACAACTCCCAACAAATTAGAGAAGGTATGAGACGGTAGACGAATGCCAGATACCGATTTGAAGCAGGTCGTATCCACCACGGGATCGCCCTATGTCGAACTGAACTAATACAAGCAGCCGACCCACCCGGGAAGTCAAACGCTTTCCACACTTGGCGTGCAGTCTCCCCTGTGCAAAATAAATGATTCAATCGTTCCTCCTGAGGATTGACGCAGCAACAGCATCGGGAAGGACCCTGGACTCCAAATCATCGTAGCTGCTCCATTAATGGTAACCTGTTGGACAGGAGGCGCAACATGAAAAAGGAAATTGTTATCGGCAAAAATCTGTGCCAAATACAAGCGGCGCCAAAGGATCCATTGGAGTGGGTGCGAACAAGCGACAAAGCAGAGGCAACCGAGAACTCCCCACTAGGGGTTAACATCCACACCATCCTGTCCTCCCCCTGAAGTGCTGGAGGTGGAGTCGCCATCACCAATCGAACAACCTCCGGCTGCAATGCTTTTGACAAAAGTCTAGCATTCCATTCCCCTCCAATAACAAAATCTGCTACTCGATGGCTCTGGAACTCCTCCACCCGATGACACAATGGACCGGACCCTGCCTAGTTATCATGCCAGAAATCCATTGTTCCTGATCGAACAATCCAACCAATATTTTCCTCCATTACTCCCTGAACCGCACACATCCTCCTCCAAGTAAGAGAACTCCCTACCCTCTCTTCTGCCAGGCAAGGGTGCCGGCCCCTACAGTACTTGGCCGCTATAAAGGACGCCCAAAGCGAGCGACCCTGTCTGAAAGCCCACCATAGCTTCATGGAGAATGCTTGAAAGACTTCAGTTAACCGCCGGAGGCCTATCCCCCCTCCTCATACGGCCGACACAGGTCATCCCATTTAATCCAATGAAACCTCGGGCCGAACTCTGATGAGCCCCATAAAAATGCTGCCATCTCCCTCTCAATCTCTCGTAAGACCCCCTTGGGAGGCGACGCTGCTGCCAATAGATGAATCGGCAGAGAGGAGAGGATGTGCTTGAGGAGCACAACCTTCCCCCCTGGCGACAAAATCCGCTGCTTCCAAGAAAGAATTCGGCTGACAATGGCCTTGGAAATTTCCCCAAAATACTCCTTCTTTCGTCGACCTGTGTACAACGGGCAACCCAGATACCGGATCGGGAAGCTTCTCTTCTGGAAACCCGTTAGTTGCCTGATAATGCTGCAGCGATGCGGTGAGATGCGGGGATGCACAAGGAAAGCACTCTTTTGCTTATTAATCTTCTGCCCCGATACCTCACAATAATCTTCGAGAACCCTCACTACGAGACATAGAGAAGACTTTAACCCACCGGTGAAGATAACCATATCGTCGGCAAATGCTAAATGTGTGATAACCGGGCATCCAATCGGAACCTTAAACGGTTGAAACTGACGCTGCTCAGCCAAAGCATTCAATGCCCGAGAGAGAGCTTCGGCGCCAAGTACAAATAAGGCTGGAGATAGTGGATCGCCCTGTCTCAACCCACGCGTTGAGCGAAAGAACCCCTGGGGTGTCCCGTTGATCAGAACCGAAAACCAAACATTAGAGACTAGGCGCCAAATAACATCAATCCATGTCTCGGAGAACCCGAACCGCCGCATCACCTGCAACAGAAAGCACCATGACACCCTATCATAAGTTTTCATCATGTCCAACTTAACCACCACATTTCCTCCTCGAGACGGCTTCCCAATATCCGTCACCATCTCTTGCGCCAGTAAGAAGTTGTCTACAATTTTTCGCCCTTTAACGAAACCACTCTGTTGGAGGGAGATGAGCCGGGGTAAAATTTGGGCTAACCGATCCGACAAAATACGTGAAAGCACTTTATTTATAAAATTGCAGAGGCTTATCGGGCGATACTGAGTGAAGTCCTGGGGACACTGAACCTTA